TAAGACAAACATGGAGACGTGAAGATATGGTTAAGGCTATGGACAGTGTTAATAACAAAATAATGGGTCTTAAAACTGCAAGCAAACAGTTCAGCGTGCCACGATCTACACTTCAAAGACTGTTAAAAAAACAAAAGGAAGGTAATTTAAATATTAGTGACGTAGTTAAAACTCAACTAGGAAGAAAGACAACATTAGGAAAAGAACTGGAGGAAGAACTTGTCCAATATGTTTTGTCCATGGAAGCTACTTACTATGGTCTCACAAGAAAGGACATTAGAAAAATGGCATATGTCTTAGCTGTTCGTAATGGAATAGCTCATCCATTTAAAAATGGTGTGGCGGGGAGAAGCTGGTTGGATGCATTTTTACTACGTCACAAAAATGTACTTTCTATTCGAAGACCAACAGGAACTTCCTTCGCTAGAGCATTAGGCTTCAATAAGGAAAATGTGGAGCAATTTTTTGACAATTTGCAGAGTGAATACTCAAAAAATAAATTTTCGCCTCACCAAATTTACAATGTAGATGAGACTGGGCTTACAGTTGTTCAAAGTAAGGTGGCATCAGTGGTGGGAAGAAAAGGAAAACGGCAAATTGCTTCAATTACCTCAGCCGAACGGGGTTCACTAGTTACGTTTATAGCTGCAATGAGCGCTGGAGGTCAATTTGTACCGCCCATGTTAATTTTCCCGAGAAAAAATCGCAACGAACAGCTGATGCGAGGGGCTCCTCCAGGTTCAATCTACGCAGTACATCCAAGTGGGTGGGTGCAACAGAATTTGTTTTCCGATTGGATGAGGCATTTCATAAATTTTGTTAAACCAACAAAAGAATGTCCAGTTCTGCTAGTGTTAGATGGCCATTATAGCCACACACGAAACTTAGAAGTTATTCGACTAGCTCGTGAAAATCATATTTCCATTATCTCTTTGCCGCCTCACTCAACTCATAAATTACAACCCCTTGATAAAACATTCATGGGAAGTTTCAAGGCTTATTACAGTGAGGAAATTAGAAATTGGCTTCGTGTTAACCAACGAGCCCTCACACAGTTTGACTTGGCAGAACTTTTAGGTAAAGCCTTTTTAAAATCACAGTGTGCCGAAATAGCTGCTAGTGGTTTTAGGGCGACGGGAATATATCCGTTCAACCGTCACATTTTTTCTGAAGCAGATTTTATATCTGAACGAATTCAGGCTGAGAAAAACTGCAACATTTTGTCTCAAGCCTCGCCTCAAGCGCGGCCTGTCACAACAGAACCCCAGCATGGTACCCCAGAACCTCAGCCAGGATGTTCTTTTTGGGAAGATACAGCTAAATTACAATCACAGGCAACATCTTCGCCGTCAAATTCCAATTTCTCTAGACCATCTGTTCCAGGAATGGAAAATTCCGTTAAATTGGTCTCACCATTTGACATTTCACCTGTACCTTCCGTCACAAAGAAAAATACCACTCGGGGAAGAAAATCAACTAAATCGCAAGTGATCACCTCTTCCCCCTACAAGGATGAGTTAGAGAAATCCTGCACCAACACGCCTAAGAAAGCAAGCACCAAACGACAAGTCTTTTCAAAATCAAAAGCAAAGAAGACAACTAACAAAAAAAGACAGCAAGCAAAAGACAATAAAGTCAGCGACTCTGAGGATGAAAGTCACGAGTTTGTCCCAGACGATGAAGATATGGATATCGACGAAATTGGCAAATCTGTTCCTGACGGCTGTGATGCAGTATGCCTATTTTGTGATGGTCGCTTTTCCGATGACCAGAGAGGAGAGTTATGGATTCAATGCTTCATGTGCAATCAATGGGCTCACGAACAATGTTCAGGTGCCGAAAAAGATGCATATATTTGTGACTTTTGCGTGTAATATGTGGTTTTTAAGTTGAAATGTATTTTCATTTTCATTTTCAGTTTTTTTTATTTGAAAAATATATGTTTTTTCAAATTGTTAGATACCTATCAATTATTTTACTAGGGGGCCCATATTCCACGCAGTCTAATCCAAAAGTAGATCTGTACATAATTTAAGTGTTGACACAAATTCCACCTAAATTTAATTTTTTTGATAATGCCTTTTTAATATACCATAAGGTAAACCTTTAAGCTTGTAGTGTGTAATTTACTGGATATTTATTCGTAACTTTCAAAAATTTATACAAAAAAAACAAATGGGGGGCTCATATTCGGACCACTTCCTCTAGTTTTGACAATAATTTTATTTAGTATTCTTAGTTACATTCAATTATAAAAAAATATAACAACTAAATCAAACAGATAATTTGCTATGTGATAAATTGTCAACATTAAACCAGTGCATTTAAATTTCCTGGAATTATTCACTATCGGCTTGACTTAAGCTTATTACAGTTAGTATTTACAAAAGAATTTAGATGATTTATTAGTTTATAATATTGTTCTGTTAATATATTGTTTAATTTATGTAATCTTACGACAACTGTGATTTACGATATGAAAATAGAATACTTTTTAGGGATTAGGTGTAAGTAAGTTTTCAAATATCACTACAAATTGTACCTACTCCTCAAATAGGATTGGGAGAAAATGGTTTAGATATACACGTATATATATATATATATATATATATATATATATATATGAAATATATATATATATATATATATATATATATACTGCGCCGAGATTTCGACATCCTCTCTAACGTTTTTTCTTCAGGGATTTCATAGTTTCAGTATCTTCAGCCCCCAGACACTATTACAATGTTCACTAATCACTGCACTACGATCAAAACTAAGATCGATATTATTATAAAAATTAATATTAAACTTAACATATTATGAGAAATATTGTATACCAAATGTAACTAATTATTTGTTAGCGGGTTTTTACCCATATATTTGGTGGCTACATTCATGTACTCCTAGACACTGATGATGGAACATGGATTCCGAAAACGTTTTGTTTAATTAGCCCGTTAGGGTTTTTAAATATATACCTTTTATAAAGGTCTTTTAATTAAAATGTTTTAATATATAGTATACAGCCAACTACAGGAACGTAGATTCCTTGTGGAATATTAAACTAACCAGGCTTTCGGGTTAAACCGCTCAATTATTACTGCGCCGAGCTTTCGACATCTTGAGTGGATCAAGGAAAATACAATTCTGATATATAAGAAAGGAAATAGATCAAAATTAGCTAACTATAGACCAATACATCTCTTGTCACAAATCTATAAAACTTTTACTAAAGTGTAGACTAAACAACAAATTTGATACATACCAACTAGATGAGCAGGCAGGATTTAGAAAGAAAAAACCAACGAATACAACCTTGCAATATACCTAGCGTTTGTTGACTATGAAAAAGCGTTTGACAGCATAGAAGTATGGGCAGTGGAAGAAGCGCTAGTTAATTGCCAAATAGATTCCCGGTACAGAATGTTAATCCACAATATATATCAAAACGCCACTATGAGAATTCAGCTAGACAGAGATTTGCAAACTCCATTAATTAGAATTTGTAGAGGTGTCAGACAAGGGGATACAATCTCGCCCAAACTATTTACTCTGGAGTTGGAAGACATTTTTAAATCTATAGACTTAGACAATAAAGGGATTTGTACAAACGGGAAATATTTAAATCATCTAAGATTCGCCGATGATGTACTCCTGATAGCAACAACTATGGAACAACTACGAATAATGATTTCAGACCTAGAAAAAACATCTCTTGAGAAAAGACTAAAAATGAATCTAAAGAAAACTAAAATAATGACTAATACAGAAGACAGATCAGTAATTACCATAGGTGGAACAAACATATAACACGTCCAAGAATATATTTACTTAGGACAAGCTATCAGAGCAGACAAAAGTAACCAGACTAAAGAAATAACCAGAAGAATAAGAATGGGGTGGGCTGCATTCGGAAAACTCTCATATACTATCAAAAACCAAAAAATATCTTTAAAATTAAAAACGAAAGTATTTAATGCATGCGTCCTACCTGTTCTGACATATGGTGCCTAGACGTGGACGTGTACCAAGAGCAACTTAGATAGAATAAAGAAAACTCAAAGAGCTATGGAAAGACAAATGTTGGGGATATCGTTAAGAGATAAAAAGAGGAACGAGTGGATAAGATGTAAAACCGAAACAACAGACGCTGTCGAACATGCATTGAAATTAAAATGGAAATGGACTGGGCATAACGAAAGATATCAGGATGGAAGATGGAATAAAGAAATTGGCCGCTGGAGACCATATACTGCAAAAAGGTCAAGAGGTTGACCGCAAATGAGATGGAAAGATGAAGTTGAGCAAAGCGTAGGTCCAATGTGGAAAAGCCAAACAGAAGACAGAGACAAATGGAGATAAATGGGAGAGGCATATATTTAACACATGAATAGTTTTTGGGCTATAGATAGATAGATAGATAGGGAATAATCCGGAGAAAAATGTATTAAGAAAAATCAGTATATAATAGAATATATAATAGTTTGACCTGGAGTGCAACAAATGCAAGGTAACAGTTTCAAGAAAGAATAAAATAAAATAAAGTGAAACAAAATAGCGACAAACGAAAATGTTTATAACATTATGAAGTGTTTGTAATTGCTGAAAACTGCAGGGATTTTTGTGTGATTAGGGGTTTTGGATTCTCAGCCATTTTATAACGCAGTTCCAAAATATGTTTTTGCCTATGTTACGTCTCAAGATCTTTTTTTTTTAGGCAACTCTAATACTACTTCCGGAAAAAGTAGGTGTATTAGTTTTTGTGGGATTTTCAAACGCGCATAAGATTAAAACTTCAGTATGGCAATAATTTCAGTATATAATTTGAACAATGCTCTAAAGTATATTTGTTTTTGTACTCCTAATATTGCGTTTAAATATTGTAAAAGTACACATGATGTGTTTTGGGGATAAAATATTATTTGACAATTTTCATTAATACATGATGTAAGAATATTTTTATTCAATAAACTAAATCGATTTGTTTTTTGTAACAGATATACCGGAAAATTATTTACAAGAGGATTTAAACAGGATCTCGAAGATGACGACCTATATGATGTTATTAAGAAGTGTCGATCAAAAAAATGTACAGACAAACTAGAACACCAATATAATAGTCGATCAAAAACTAAAGATTCAGAGAAGAAGGTATCTATATTTAAAATAATATGGCATATGTATGGATTGAGGTATATATTACTAGGACTATTCCATATGTCGGGAAGACTTTTGACCACGTAAGATTTTACTTACTTTTTTATTCTTTAAATTTTATTCTTTGTATATTTTGTATTTATTTTTCTCTATTTATTTTAAACTTTTAAGTACAAGCTGTGGAAGTTTTTATTTCTAAGCTTAGTGAGATACTGCCCCATTTTTTGATTTTGATCATCATTTACACTAGGAATTTTCCTTTGATTTAACTCCATACCAAAAAACCTAGTTTAAGGAGTTCTCTAGGTTATTTTATCAGTATACATAGGCACTCCGATAAGTACTTAGCTTCACCGCCCGATGGCGCCACAATCTCAAGAGAAATCTATTATCGTGTAATACATTTTTTATTTACGTTTTGTTTTATTGGCGTATGAAAGCGAGTGTGTCTGCGGATTTAAGAAAAATAGAAAAATACCAATATCGGTCGGTGATTCGATTTTTGTTTTGGGAAGGGAAATCACGCAACGAAATCAAAGAGCGCTTAGATGCGATGCACAGTGACTCCTCGTACCACAAAAGGATAACGTGACAAAAATCTACGATATTATAGTGGCAGACTGCGGACTTAAGGTACGCGAGATAGCTGCGACAGTAGCCATCTCAAAAGACTGAGTATGTGATATCCTGCATGAAATTTCAGAGATAAGAAAGCTGTCGGATTTCGTGCCTAGTTTGCTCATTCCGGACAACAAGCTTAATTGTAAGACCACTTCAGAGCAGTGTTTGATACTATTTAAGAGTAATCCAAAGGAGTTTCTACGTCGTTTCGTAACCATTGACGGAACATTAATTCATTGATACACACCAGGAACCAAGAAATAGTTGAAACAGAGCTTCGAAGGAGACGAAGACAGTCTTATCGACCGTGATCCGTAAACCGTGAAGAGGTGATCTACGTTGACTACCTGTGGAATGCCAAAATGGTCACAGGGCTCTCCTACCCCGAATTATTGGGTCAATTCGTGGCCATATGCGACTGTGTCTTTGTATTCAACATTGCTGTTTTTTATTTTATCATTCTTTGATATCTTCTGGTTCATGTAAGAGATTAAGAAGATACTATTTTGTGGGTATTTTGTGCACTAATATACAAATATCCTAGAGCAGAGCGTACGGTGTGGGAGACGCTGTTTACCGTCAAGTTCTCCCCCCCCCCCCCGAGACGACATTATCAGTAAGATATATTATTATCTAACTGATTGTAGATAAAATACGTTTAGAAAAAATTATATATCTCTTGATTTTATCATTAGATGATCTTGTAGATAAAGGGCAAGTATAAACATAATTTCATTATTACTAATCAATTATAAGAATTACAATACTGAAAGGCTGAAATGGAACTGCACAGGACTTGTCGCCAAAGTAAGAGATAAAAAATGGATCAAGACAATTTTGAATGAAAACTTACACACGATGCTTATGGTAATCGAGGACGTCCTCCAACAAGGTGGTTAGACGATATTAAGTGCAAACAGCACAACTGAATACAAGATGCTCAAGATTTGATGCATTGTAAATATTTATGGGATGCTTATATTCAGCAGTAGACTCAAAACGGTTAAAGTTGATGATAATGATGATGAATCAATTTTATAATCAAGATTGTAAATTCAGTTAAATGGAATAAAAGTTTTCTAATGTTTTATACAATTGTTGGATGCAATCAAGAAAAACTTTTAAGAAATAAATAAGATATTTTAGAAAATTTATATGAACAGGAAATGTGACAACCGCAATAATTTTAGATGTGGTAATCTCTTATACCTCTGTGTGATAGAGAGTACTCCCAACTATCATATGACATTCACCCCTACCCATCATTCAAGTCCTGATACCCAATCCTATACCCGACAAGAAAACCTCCACTAATACAAAAAAACAGTTGAGGAAACCGCTGATAACAAATGGATATGCATAGGGCACGCAGCTATACATTATTGTAATATACCAGCACCCCAGATATATAGCCTAAAAGAAAAAGTGGGTCTTAAGCGTCAACCTATGGAGGAGGCAAACCGGAGGGGATTATAGCATTGATGGAGCATGCGCACACTGCCCCGCTGAATCGAAGAACCAACCCAACTCGTGGAAAGGAAAATGCACAAATATTTAACAAAAACGAAGTTAAGCCCTGGGATAGGAGAGTCTATGGAGTATATAGGCGAAGAGAGGCTATCAGCAATAGCGGAAGAGGAAGAAAAAAGAGTCGGGACGATGAGGTAACAAAGGAAATATGAGAACATGGACGTAACAATGGAGAAGATCTGTAGTGATAGTAAAAAGGACACGGAGGATAGTAATGATTACGAGTGAATGGACGACCAATATTAATAGACGAAGCTGGCGAAAATAAGAACAGAAGTAAAGTCAATCGAAGAAGAAATGAAACAGAGAAATGATTGTTAAAAATGAAGGGATGTATCAGCAAGTCAGTAAATTTAACAAAAGCGGTAGCAAATACGAAGAAGAAGAAGATTAAATAGAAAGCCAAAAAGGTATGACAGATTCGGTGCAAAATAGAAGGAAACGTTAGAGGGTTAATGTGTAGTGCTATCAAGGAAACGGAAAAGGAAATTGATAATAAAAATGCGTGACAAAAACAGGAACGCAAACAAAAATAACTGTGTTGACAACTACGAGGTACATTGGGACACAGGTAGAAGTAAATGGCCAAGAGGACCCAGAAGTAAAATGAAGAAGGGTGGATAAACTACATAAGAAGATGGAAGTAGCAAAAATCACCGAGAATTTAATAAAAATATTAGATGAAGAACGATCAGAAGAGCTTTATGAAACGGCAACCATCTGTAAAACGGCAATTCTAATACCATAAAAAATGGGAGACGTAGGAGTGAAGCTATTAAGTACTCCCTGGATTTTACGTGGAAGAAGACACAAACGAGAAATTGATATTATGTCTATAATAGCATGTGTAGTAAAGGAAAATGGGAAGACGAGGACATTAAAACAAATTGTGTACAAGCTGAAACAGAGAAGAGAAAACAGAGAAGAGAGAAAAACCAACGGCTGTTAAATTAGTGACAGCAGTCAGAGAAGAAAGAGTTAAGAGAAAGCCATGATGTCATGGTAAACAAAGCTTGGAAAACCAAACAAGATATTCTGTATTCCTGGTATTAGGAAAAGGCAAGTGAAAAAGTGAAAAAAGGGGTTAATGCTGACGTACATGGATGGTCTAATCACAGAAAAAGACAATCATCATCTAACATTAATGCCTAACATCAGCGAACCCAAATTTAAAAGGAGAAGAGCTCTTTATTCTGTTGTGAAATCGATCGTTGTCTACTCGGCATCTGTCTGGGGTACAGAAGTTTAAAAAAAATTATACAGAAGGCACGTCACCCAAGCAAAGAAGAGTCTGTTGAAAATGACATGTACATACAGAACAGTATTCACGGTTGGTGTACGTGCTAGTGAAGGAAAGAGGAGGATATAGCAAGACAACGTTTAAAAAAGGAGTGGAGGAGAAGTCCATTGTATGGTGACAAGAGAAATAGGATGCAATGAGGAGGGTGGCGTACTGTAAAAAGCCGCTGATTTCTAATTTGAGAATATGGATGAACTGCAATCATCGACATTTGGACTAATTCCTGACGCAGATGCTCACATAATATGACTCTTTCAGGGCATATCTTTATAAATGTATGAAGAGAATACTGAAGAGATAGAAACAGAAGCAAATAGTAAGATAAGACAGAATGAAAGGTGGCGAGATTGACTATTGCTTGAGGAGGGAGAGAGGGAGTAAGGGATTAAACAGTCCTAGCGAAAAAATGTGGGAATGCGCAAGAATCGTGTGTCATTGAGAAATCAGATGAAGGCTGTGCCGAAGTTATGCTCCAACAAGGGCGATTAGGGAGGTAATTCACGGTTGAGGAGGATGCATTTAATAGTAGGTAGGACTTTGGCGTTGACGGCGATTATGTCAGAATAAACCCTGCGGTCTCAGATATCATCGTAGTGACGTAGGAAGAAGGCAGTTTGGCCAATCTTCTAGGACCGAGGTATGTTTCGAACATTTTTTATACTCTACTAATCGCAAAAGAAGAAAAATCTTATACGTGAGGTTTATTATAAACTAAATATAAAAGGACATACCAATTCTTAAAGGTCTATATAACACATCTCATATTATATATATATATATATATTATATATATATATATATATATATATATATATATATATATATATATATATATATATTTATCTCAGATATGTATCTCATAGGATAAGTAATTTATCAAATATAAAATTTCAGTACGTTGGAACCTGACGCTCTTTCACATTTAGTAGGATACTTCAAACCAGGACAAACCAAAATGACAATCCACGATGCTATGTATTTTGCTGGAATCATGATTGGAGTTAAAGCTTTTCACACAATCTACTTCCAAAATTATCATATCTACCTAACTGAGTTAGCACTTCAAATCCGCATTTCGTTTTCTTCTCTTATTTATCGAAAAGCCTTAAAGTTAAGTCCAAAAGCTTTAGAAAATACTAGTTTGGGTAAGTATCTTATTTTAAATCTATATTTTTTCAATTAACACAGCAATATATATGGTTGGATTTTAGGATGATATACAGTATGGCTTTTAAATATTATTAGTATTGTTTTTATTAACAATAATACGTAATAATAAATAAATACTTAAGTCTTAGTTTTACGAGTAACATATTCTACGTGTTCTTCCATTACGCCAGCCCCAGAAAGGTAGGTTCTCTGCAGGAAATTTGCCTTATCTTGCTAAAAACTTGTTACTAATGATTAAACTGCTTTGATCTGCAAAACTTGTGAAGTAATTTGCGTGTGGTGTAGAACTTAAGTCATGTAACCTTTTTAATTAACAGTTGATGGATAATCACTTTTCTTAATCAAGTAAAATTTCAGTAATAAGTCCAGTATAAAAGTATTCCAGAAGCTGCACAACAAAAAGTCAACATTTTTAAATGTAACGGTACTTCATGCACTTCTTTCGACCTTTAGAAACTTATTGCTACACCTATTTACAAGACCTTCAAATGGAAATCCTTTGCTTTATCAGATGGTATGGATGAAACTTAGATTAAATGCAACCATAGTGCAAGCCAAGGATTCTACAGGTCTTTACGTCTTGCGACATAATTATAGATACTCAATTATTGGGTATGTATTCTTTTTATAGCAGATCTCCGTTGACCGTTACGTACTACTACGAGTTCATAATTTGACAAAATATACGTTCTTTATTTTCCTTGGTATCTACTAGTTTTTTTCGACTGGCTTATCCTTTTTCTTGAAGAAGAACAAACAGTCGATTTGAAGAAAAGCAGTTGGAAAACATAGAATGGCTAAGAAATAAAAACAAATCTCAAAAGATCTAGAGAAATGTAAACAAAATGAGTAAAGAATTGGGAGCTGTAAGGATGGAGAAGAAATAAATAAGTGATAGGGCCTCACTCTTAAACTGATGGGTTGAATTTTTTAACAAACAAAAAATATAAGGATGTCAATAAAACTAGACTTATATCGGAGGAGAGTGGCATCACAACTAATAGCGCAAAATGTTGGCAAATAACATATTGGAATAAGGTAGGCTTAAAGCGCTAGACATGGGGAGTTGCCCATCTTTGGATGTAGTACACTGAACGGCTATTCTGTTGACACTATCAAATTGGATATACTAATTTTGTTGACGGCAGCTCGGAAAAGGGATCAATGGGTGTCTGGATCAACCCGTTAACATAATACAATCTCATCAGTTTTGATATTACTGCTGTTAGTAGCTTCAGAAGTGTTTTCATCTGCCAGTCCCTTTATTATCTTTCTCAGTTTTGTTAATTATATGGCTGGGTGCTAATAACATTTATGTTGTTAGCTTGTTATGTATTACTTGTTATATGAGCGAATGTTATTACTTGTAATATGAGCGAATGTTGTATTGGATTGTACAGTATGTAACTATCTATAAAGCTGTAATTTATAGAACAGTCTTTTGAAAAATCTGAGTTTTTCATGCATACGGTTAGTTCAGAGGGCTGGAATCTTCTGAACTAACCTCTAAATATTTTTTTCACCTAATGCCATCAATTTAGTTGGCACCTTGTAAGCTGTTTTTTAGTTGAGGATTACGTAGATAATAATGAGCCAATAAACTTGTCACTTGACTTTTAACTTAACTAAAACTATCTTTTTTTTTTTAGGAAATATCGTCACAGTTATTAACAAAGATGTCCAACAATTCGAACACTCCATATGGATGTTTAACGATTTATGGATATCTGTATTACAAACTTTTGTAATGTGTTATTTAATTTACCAAAGGACAGGAGTAGCTTCTGTAGTAGCTATTCTAATGCTCGTACTCGTTATACCAGTACAAGGTACGTTTATATTAATTATATGTATATAAATTTAATTTAGAGGCGTAGCGTGAAAAAATAAGGGATGCAATAAAAATTTAATAAACAGTACTTAAAATAACCTCTACGATTGAAAATATTGAGCCATTAAGAATGAGAGAAATATATTGACCAATAAAATATGCCGGTTAAAACTTTGAAGCGAAGAATCTATACTGACGTTATATTACTTAAAATGTTAAGGCAAGCGACACGGAACTACCACGAGAAGGCGTCACGAATAGCGTCACGAAATAGAAAATTTGTTTCGAGTTATCATATATTTATTCTAAACAGGTTTAAATTAAAAACTGATATATCATAATTAATAAAATACAGACAATAAATGAAAAGTAAAAATTAAAATATTTCCTGTCAATCAAAATTTAGAAGTCTTAAATGTCATACAAATATTAATTTTTTTCATAAATTATTATTTTTAGGCTATGTTGCGAAAATAATAAAACATCTAAGAATAAAGATGTCAAGAAGAACAGACGAACGATTACAAAGAACTCAAGAAAGTTTATCAACCATCAAAACGATTAAGATGTACACCTGGGAAGAAGTTTTTGCCGAGAAAATAGGAGAAGCTAGATTGTAAGTTTTAAATTATTTTTCATGTGAATACGTTTTATCGTTCGGTATGATGTTTTTGCACGGGCCCGAAATCATATTTAGCGTGACTTGAAAAATCGAGACGCGAGCAGTAACCTTGTGGTATACCTAAAATACGTAATGTACATAAATCTAGACTTATAAAAATAACCTCACTGATTTTTTGATAAACTTTTTTAATAACCCGAATTTAAGATATTTGTATAAAATAAAAATAAAATAAAATAAATTAAAATGACATAAAGATTATGAAATACAATGAAATGAAGATTAAAATAAAATAAAATAAAATAAAATAAAATAAAATAAAATAAAATAAAATAAAATAAAATAAAATAAAATAAAATAAAATAAAATAAAATAAAATAAAATAAAATAAAATAAAATAAAATAAAATAAAATAAAATAAAATAAAATAAAATAAAATAAAATAAAATAAAATAAAATAAAATAAAATAAAATAAAATAAAATAAAATAAAATAAAATAAAATAAAATAAAATAAAATAAAATAAAATAAAATAAAATAAAATAAAATAAAATAAAATAAAATAAAATAAAATAAAATAAAATAAAATAAAATAAAATAAAATAAAATAAAATAAAATAAAATAAAATAAAATAAAATAAAATAAAATAAAATAAAATAAAATAAAATAAAATAAAATAAAATAAAATAAAATAAAATAAAATAAAATAAAATAAAATAAAATAAAATAAAATAAAATAAAATAAAATAAAATAAAATAAATAAAATAAAATAAAAAAAAATAAAATAAAATAAAATAAAATAAAATAAAATAAAATAAAATAAAATAAAATAAAATAAAATTAATAAAAATTAAAAATATTAAAAACGTGACACAGACATTAACGAACTCGTCCCCTAAGAAACTTAAGGGAATGGTTCTAAATACCAGAAGCTGCAAACCTAATTCCAGTAGTAGCCAACATAAAGAAGATTGTTCTAAATATTGTTTTCTTGTTTCAACTTCCATGATATATTTTTAGTTATCACTATATAATGTTAGGATTATTATTATATACTAAATAATATTGTAGATTATTATATATTAAATACTAATTCCTTTTTTTTAGCAAAGAATTAAAAATTTTAATCAAATCAACCTATTCCAAAATATCTTTGATGATAATGAGTAGCTTGGTAGGAAAGTTTGCCTTCTATGCTATGCTGATGATATACCTTTATATACATGAAGATATGAGCGCTGAAGATATATTTTACATAATGAGAATATTTGGAACTTTACGATTCACTATTTCGCTTGCATTTTCCATGGGATTTACAAGAATTGGAGAACTTTCAGCTTCTCTTAAAAGAATCAATCACATTTTGGAGCTTGAAGAGCTACCTGACGTTATAGACAAACCTGATGATGATCCACAAATTGATTTGAGAAACGTCAGCGTAAATTTGAAAAACAAGGATATATTGACAAATGTTAATTTAAAGTTGGAAAAAGGTCTCAATGTACTTACCGGTCAGTTAGGAAGTGGCAAGAGCTCTTTGATAAAGGTTGTGCTACGTGATTACCCTATTCTTGACGGAGGGGAGGTGAGAACTAGAGGACGGAAAAGTTATGCCTCACAAGATCCATGGCTATTTCCTTCATCAATCAAACAAAATATTTTGTTTGGAGAAAAATATGATTACAAGAAGTATCAACAGGTGAGTCTTAAATAAACATATTCAGTTAATTAATTTAAACTTTTTTAATTGTCGTTTTATAGGTACTAGTTTTTTTGTGTTGTAAAATAATTGATAATCTACTCAGTTTCAGTTAGATATACCACTGCTCTATTTGCCTTATTTATGTATTATTATATCTTTATCAAAATAACATATTACTAGCGGACCAACTCGATATCGAGTTTTTTAAATGAAATTTTTATTTTGCGAGAAACATTAAGAGATCAATACAAACAATATAAGCAAGAATATACGTAACATTCATCAATAATAATGCAAGTAAAAAGTGTATTAAATATCACGAAATATTTCGTCGAAAACAATGTTTTTTTGTTACAATGACTCCATTGTCTGAAAACTTTTGCTTGGCACCGGGAGTTATGTAAACTTTAACTTTTTAGTTTTTAATAAAAACGAAACCGGAAGTCTACCTCAAAACCGGAATGCAATTTTTAGTTCATCAAATGTCAACATGGATATCATTTAGCAGTTAGTTTTGCATGCTGATCACGAATCCGGTGTCAGATTTGCTCTATCTTGACGTTTTATGCGCGTTTCGGGTCACTTCCGGTGTCGGATCGCAACTGGAAGTACATATTTAGATTCGTCTCGACGAGACCTTTCGATCCATATATACATTGTGGGGTCTAAAAGTAAATTTTAACTTCCGGTCATCTCAAAACCGGAAGTGAATTTTTGTACCAAAAGTATATCTTGACAATCTCATACGTAATACTAATAATATTCCGAAAAAATATTTTAATTATCTAATATGGTTTTTGAGTAAAGTGGTGGACAAGAAAAGGGCTTAGCGTTTTAGTATATAATGCCGGGTCCAGACCAAGCAGACAAAACAAAAACATTCATGTTTCGCGACAAAGTGGCGACAAATCGAAAACATTTGTTGAGACATTTCTGAAACAATTTTGTTTTGTTTGCAGATTTGAAAACTTTTTCAGGTCCCGTCTCAGGTCGGTAAAGATCAAAAGGTCTGTGTTTTGTCTGTGTTTTTGACGACAAGTTGTCGACGCAGTGTGGACGCGTGTGCGTGCCAAAACGAGTTAAGCAGTAGGAGAAATAGAATGTACAATTTTTATCAAAATCAAGTGTATTTTTCTGTTGTGTAGTGACTAAATACGCGTGACTAAATAAAAAAAATTGGACGCGTGTGCGTGCCAAAACGAGTTAAGCAGTAGGAGAAATAGAATGTACAATTTTTATCAAAATACTAGTGTATTTTTCTAAACATGTCGGGGGACAAAAAGTGGAATACACAAAATACATGCAAGTTAATAGAACTTTACAAGGAGCATCCGATATTATGGGACCCTAAAAATAAAGATTATAAAAATCGCTACAAGAAAGCTGATGCATTAAAGGAAATTTCTTTATCGCTAAATGTGCCACTAAATGATGTTGAAAAAAAAAAATAAAGAATGTTAACAACCAGTATGCTAGAGAAAGACGAAACTACAAGAAACTTAAAAAATCTGGGGCTGGGAAACTTTTTAGTTCAAAATGGTTTGGTTATGTCGCATTTTTAGGCTTGGTCTAATCCAAAAACGTTTGGGTTTTCGTTTAGCAACCTGGGATGATGATGAGAGCAGAAAAAAACAACTTGCGGCTAGCAATAAATCTTCAGTTTCATTTTTTTCTTGATTAAAACACCACATGGTTAACCAACACTAATCACAACAACGTCACCAACTGAATTTTGTTTTTATATTTTGTTGTTCTGGTGTGGACAGTTTGTCTCAATTTTGTTTTGTCTTTTGACGACAAATTTTGTCGCCGGTTTATCGTGTTTTTGTTTCAGAATTGTGTTTTCGTTTTGTCTGCTTGGTCTGGACCCGGCATAAGATATGTGTTTTCTGTTCCCCATTCTAAATCCTATCGTTGCTTAACTTTTTTTATAATTTCGTTTATGGCTAAAGTGAATATTAGCTTCACAAATCTCTTTGTTGAATGTCTGCTTTATGCGCAATTTACCATCAATAAAACCTAGTCAATAAAGCATTGTTTAGGTCGATTATACAAATGTATGCTGGTATATTGTATAGCTAGTTTCATATGCAGTACATCATATCATAATGTTAAATTATTACACTATTCACTTTCTTGATTAGAAAAACTGTCTCCGTTACCGGAATGATTTAAATCAATCTTTAAATCTTCAGTAATTTCATCGAAGGCAAACCAACCTAATAACTCCCCAGTTAAGGAATATTTGATTGTATTCTTCTTCACTGGCTTTATAACTCGGGGTTAGTCTTCGTCGCATCCACTATCGGCCTCCATCTTCTACGATCTTGCGCTTCTATTTCCCATTGTTGTACCATAATTCTAGATAAATCGGCTTCAACATCATCCTTCCATCTTTTTCTCGGTCGCTCTACTGATCTTCTACCATCTGGTCTTTCAAAAAATACTGCCTTTAACACTCTGTCATTCTTTGATCGTATCACGTGACCTACCCATCTTATTCGGTTTGCCTTGATATGTCTAACTATGTTTTCAGTTGCATACAGAGTCACCGATTCAGCATTGAGGCGTCTTCTCCAATCTCCTGTGAATTCATCTCTTTGAGGGCCAAATATTATTCTGAGAATCTTTTTTTCAAATACTAGAAGCTTGATTGATTTTCCGCTGGTTGAAAGTCCATGTTTCACTGCTATATGTAATAATTGGGCGAATAATCGACTTGTACAGTGTTAATTTGGATTTTCTTTTTAGCAGCTTCGATCTTAACAATATTGAAAGGGAGTATAATGCTCTATTTCCCACAACTATTCTTGTTGAGATCTCTTTTTCTATGTATTTGTCAGCTGTGATTATCGCCCCAAGTATTTAAACTCCTTTACTACTTCGAAGTTGTGATCATTAATACTGATGTTCTGCCTAACTCTTGATCTTGGATTTTTAGTTACTACTATGTATTTCGTCTTTTCTTCATTTATTCGGAGACCCAGACTACCTGTTTCTTCCTCTAGCTGTGAAAACACCTCTCTCACTTCTCTGTTAGAATGCGTGACTGCATCTATATTATCAGCAAAGGCCAGCAAAAGTTTTGATCCTTGATCAGCAAATCCTCCTGTCAGCTCAGACGATATTTTTCTCATTGCATATTCTAAAGCAAAATTGAACATCAACGGGGACAAGGGGTCCCCCTGCCTAAGTCATGAATTGACATAGAATCGATGTTCTGCTTTCTATTTTTACTTGCGCATATGCTTCTATCACGCATATTCCGTTATCTGTTAATTTAACTAATTTTTTCCATTTTTCTCTAGTATTTGTCGGATTGTAAATATCTGATCTTCTAGTCAAAAAGCCGCATTGGTAGTCGCCTAGAGTATCTTCCGAATATAGTGTGAGTCTCTTTAGCAAGATAATTGATTGCACTTTATATGATGTGCTAATAAGCGATATGCCTCTATAGTTTCGGAATTGTTCGTTGTTTCCTTTCTTATATAGGGGAATTATATTTAATTTCCATTCTGTAGGCATGTTCTGTTGTTACCATACGCTCAGAATGATGTCATACAATTTTTGGTGTAAAAGGTTTCCTCCTTTTTTTAACAACTCCTTATTTATATCTCTCCAATATTTGACATTGGAGGTAAATATTAAGAAAACGAAATAATATAGAAAATAAATTTAAAGTATATTTGATAGCTTGATGTTTTTTTAATCAAAATAAAAATAAAAAGAAAAAATGTGTTTTTTACTCGAAAAAAAAAAATGGTTTCATTAAAATCCAAATTTTTTTTTTGTTTTAAACTGTACACACAATTTTTTGTGTATCTTTATTTTAATTTTTTCAAAGTAGGTATAAAAAATTCAGAAGCATAAAAACAGAATGTTTATATAGAACAGGCATAGAAAACTATATAAAATAAAAGAATGTACATAAGTAATACATAATTTACATAAGTTAAACAACAAAAAATACTTTTATAAGTTACTTAGCAACAGTCTTTTTTTCATTTATTGCATAAGAACAAAGAGCTATGAAAGACCTACAAATTATTTATCTCAGATACCGAAAAAAGACCCCTTTGCTTAATGTACTGTGGTGGTGATTTTAACAAACAATTTTTTGATAATGATATCCTATTTTTTCCATAGCTTTGATTTTGAGTTTATTTTCTGTTCTATCTTCCACTACTCCTGGAAAATTGTTATCCTCGTAAACTACAATGACGTAGTAACCTAGTTTCTAGTGGCCCACCTTTAAATCCATAGAATTGTTAGGTTTCGGCTTTCTAGTTCTTTCACCTATTTTCTCCCAGAACCAACATTTTTGTATAAACATCATTTTCTTTTTTATTTGCTCCATCTATCTCTCCTCCTTGTTTTTCTTTATTCTCAATGTTTAGGTTTAATTTCATAGCTTTCGAATTTTTTTCTGTTCATTTGCCGTCAGATTCTGCATTTTCTTCGTGATGTTAGATTTTTTTATTTTTCTTCAACCTTTTATTTTTTCCTAGTTTCCTTTTCATTTTTTTAAAGCTTTTTACTCTTCACTAGTACTCTATAAAATCATCAGCAATCGTTACTACAGGTGTTAATTTTTTTGTAGCCTTGATTTTGGACATTTGAGATATTTTTCTGGAGAACTAAAATGCCTATTTTTGCGGCATGTATCTTTGACAGGTCGTAATATAGCAACATCAAGCGGCTGCATGGAATTTGGAACCAGTGCTACTGAAACAATTCCATTGGTGGTGGAATATCTCCACTAGCGCATATGGTTGGTAATATGGTCAGACATTTCTTTTCGTCGTTAGTAGTTCTATTATATACAGTTTTATACTCTCTTGTAACTAACACTTGTCTGTAAGGTGGAGCCATGAAAAAGGCTGTCTCGTTGCAGTTAAATATTCGGCATGGATCTTTAAACACATCTGTGATGCCATTTTGACTGAAATATTTGTATACTTTCTTAAACAAATTTCTTATCATTTACTCTGTAACGAAGGAATGACTAGCTGTCAGATTTTGCGATATACAAGGTCTTACTTCCGGGTGGTGGGTTAGGAAATGTTAGTACTACCTATTTCCAGAAATTTCATTCTTAAATGGATTGGATCGCTTTAGATTTTTAATGAGCACTCCTACGGTGTTAATAAGCTAATCGCATGTCACGGGAAAACAATACCCATTTTACGATTAGTTTTTCCTCATCACTAGTTAAAACTGGTTGTCTTCCAATATTTTCGGGCACGTACTTTTGCATTCCTTTATCTTTCAATGTTTTTTAGTATACAATACATCTATTGTATACCAAAATTATATGCTCATTGAATGGGCAGACATGCCAGTTTCCACGTCATTTAGGATCCGATCCAGTAGCTCTTGTGAATATATTTTTTTGCTTATTGACTTAGGCTTTAGTTCTGTCCATGATTCTAGAAAAAAAGTTTCATAGTTGTAAATTTGATTTTTTGTTTTTATAGAACAAAAAAGTATGGGACGGAATGTGCTAGTACGTTTTTGTCAATATTTTTTTAAAAGAATATATTACTTTTATTTAATATTTTTTGACATTAAAGAACATAAAGTTGAATTGAAAAAAACCACCAACACTCGTAATTACGACCCATTGGGCCGGAATTAGAATAGCTACTAAAATTGTGCCCTAATACCGGCCTAATCTATTTTTGTAAATTCTACTTCGTTTTGGCCCAAAAACTAAAGTGTTACACAAAAAATACAACTAATAACCATTTCCAATGAATAAACTACTGCATGTAGATAAAAAAATATTTTTTGTAATAATTTGCAAGCAAATATCGTAGCCGATGAGTTTCTCAATGCTTAACGGAAACATAAAGGATTGAAAATAGGTCTCGAACTGATTGCGTCGCTTGATTAAATTAAACTAACTAAAACAAAAGCTAGAACATGTCACCCTACCATTTATATATACAAAAATTGCCTAATAAATTTCTCGCTAGGATGCACACGCAACGTAGTATTAAGTTTAATCAACTTGAACGTATTTACAAAAGAATGTTATTTTTTTTTAACAGGCCCTGTTTACATCACGAATTTGTATATGTCGTTAATAGATCGTTTTACCTTACACGACGTTTATTTTGCAAGTACTTATTTTGGATGTTGACAACAAGTTAACACACTTTCTTCAAGTTATCTACAGTTACTTACTTAGGCAAATTACTGTTTCACCAACACTTTTACAACTTTAAACGTAAAATTATTATTTTGTTTTAAAATTCCATTTTTATTTGTTACCAAACCAGTTCTATAGGGCTTAAATCTGGATGATATAGTGTTCATTTAAAAAAAAAGATATCTGCGATCGACCATTTGTTCTGGTCTACAATGTAGGCTACTTCATATCTTCTTCTTCTTCTTCTTCTTCTAATGGCGCTACCACCCTTTGTTTGGTCTGCTTAACAATGTTCTCAAATTCTGCCCTGTCGGATCACTAAGGCCACTTCATATACTCCATTTGAATCGGAATGGTCATTTATTTTCAAAATAATACACGTGTTGAATATAAAATTGAACTTAATAATCTTTTATTTTTAGGTTGTATCTGCTTGCGCTTTGGAATATGATTTTAAGATTTTAGAAAAAGGTGACGAGACAATTGTCGCTGATAGAGGTATGAATCTGAGTAAAGGACAACAAGCAAGGATCAATCTGGCTAGAGCTATTTATAGAGACAGTGATATCTACTTAATTGACGATGCTTTAACTGCTCTAGATACTAGGGTCCAAGAACAAATCTTCACCCAATGTATTCAAGGACTTCTAAAGGATAAATGTGTGGTGCTCGTTACGCATAACACAAAACATATTCATGCGGCGGATAAGTTAGTTATTTTACACGATGGAGTTATTAAATATATTGGAGATCAAGCAAACGCTACAGAAGATATTCTTTTGGAGGCTATTGAAGATGAAGAAATTGAAGAACTGGAGTTACAGACAAACGAAACAGAACCCAGTAAAGTCATTACTGAAAAAACTGAACTTCTTGAAAAACCGCAATTACGGAAAAGACAAGTTTATCATGAAAACAAAAAACAAGGTTCAGTTGACTTTGATTTGTATATGCAGTATATAAAAATGGGTGGTGGATTTATTTTCGCAATCTTATTAATGTTTACTTTTGCCGGAGCTACTATTACGGAAAGCACATCACAGAAAATGTTAACCAATTGGTAAGTTCATTTAGTTTAAAATTTTTGCTTAATCGATCTTGAAATAATTTCTTGTAGTAAAATATATTATGTTTTGATATTAGTATTACTCAAGTGTTCAAACTTCTGAAAACTGTCTAATTTTTAATCTTATTCTCTCCATTTCTCCAAAAATGGTCCCAAAAATTTCGAAAAAAAGATGGAATTTGTACCAAGTCGATTTCGTCAAAAATGTGATAGAAGTGTTCGTCGTGGTGACTTCGGGATGAATCAACAAACACATGTAACAAAACATCGACACAAAGCAAGTTATTGGAAATTTTCAAATATCGAAAATTTCACAAGTCGATGAGACCTAAAGATGTAGAAGTTATTTTTTATACCAAAAATTATTTTACAACCGAAAATATTTCAATGTCCTTAAAGAAAAATAAAATGTTAGTAAAATTATACTAAGTTAAAAATACCAATTAATTAGAAAATAAATATTTCACGAGAAATATCCCAAGTCGAAAAAAGCTGACTAACCTTGAGTTTTAACCTTGTTTAGGCTTACGCCTCTTCAAGGAACGGGGAACTCCTTTTTTTTGACGGAGTTGTGGGGGTTACGAGAAAAACGTCAACTGAACGAAACGCGGCCTAAGAAGCAGAGAACTGCTAAGGAAAGAAGGGAAAAAGAAGGTGGCTTATTTTGTGATCGATAAGAATCGTGAACGCACAAGAAGAAGTGGGTTTGCCTAGCATGCAGTGAGGTTCTTAAGGGTTACCAGCCATACAGTGGGAACGGCTCTTTATCAGCGTTTTTGGTGCGCAGTTTATCTGCGATAGTAGATGGGGAAAGATTCTAAAATATCAAAATACGCCTCAGGAAGTTCAGGTCCAGCGTTATGTAGAAGTTTAGCTGGAGGGAATGGAACTTTTTAAGCGGGATGCCTGGTGAGTATTTGCCCTCTATGTGAACAAGGTGTCTTCAATGTTTGTTTTGCTCGGTTGTTCGAGCCAGCTATGGTTCTTAAGACATACTTCCTATTGAGGGTTAGGATTCTGTCCTTGATAGGCGTGATGTTACTTATTGCATATATGTGGGCTGATGGATACAGCCAATCTTTTCTCATGCAGAAGCGTAGTATTCTACGCTCTGTGGCGGTGATGGCATTGAGTTCGTGGTTCCTTAGGGAGAGGTAAACGCATGCCTTGTATTCGATTATCGGTCTGATGAAGGTCTTGTAGGTATGCAACAATGTGTTAGTGGACGTTCCTCCTAGTTTACCGGCCAACACTTTCAGGAGGTTGAGCCTTTTTCTCATCCTATCTAGGGATTCTTGGACGTCAGCCTTCCAATTGAGAGTTCTCGTAAAACGAACTCCCAAGTAGAGAACTGAGTTCCTGAGAATAAGGTCCTCTCCCAAAAGTGTCACCCGGCCCTGAAGGCCGCGTCCGTACGGGGGTCTAAATAAGATTGCTTGTGTTTTGGAGGGGTTTAAAGTAAAACTCCATTTGTTGCACCACCTCACGACTCTATCAAGATAATTTTGCGATTTCTCGAATACAGACCGTCGCTCTCCTTCCCTGTAGGAGCCTAAGGTAAGAATGACTGTATCATCAGCGAATAGGAGAAGAGACTCTGATCCTTGCTGTGGGCGAGTGATGTCGCTATTGTAAACTGTGTATAATATTGGAGCAAGTATTGAGCGTTGGGGCACTCCTGCTTGAGAAGAAATTAGACTAAGTCTCGCTAGAGAACTTAGAAAAATCCTAAAATAAAAAGATAGTGGTTAGGAGCAATAAAAAGCAGAGTTTCTAAGAACTAAATCAACCAGAAAGTCTCTAATGCCAAGAAGGCTGATTCTGCGGACCCTGTCCAGACCAGAACGAATTTTTTGCCATCGTGAACCTATACTTATACGAAATTAAGTAGGTCAAGTGCTCCATGGCGCTCTGCCATTGGAGCTTGCACGACAGCCAATGCTCAATTTCGGACATAACCATTGGCTGCAATTAGGTTGCAATTCGACCAATCGTAAAGCCGGAATCGAAATCCAATCTCGGGCAACACCATTGTCTGCAATTATGGTTGTTTTTTGACCAATCGTAATGCCGAAATTGAGCTATTGGCGACAGCTTTATACAACTTTTAGTAAGAAGGTGCATTAAATAATTTTGAAAAATCCCAATTTTTTAAATGAATAGTAATACACATACTATTTTAACTGAAATCGCATTCGATATTGGGTACTTAAAAATGCATCATTAAAAATGCATAAAAAAATACTTAACGTCTAAACTATTATATTACAATTAAAGACACGTTAAACACGTCAGTCGTGTTCCAGTATTCAAATTTCCCGAGTCCTAGAATAAATTTCTCGACCTATGTTATAAATATTTTGGTAGTTTTCTGAAAGGTTCTTAAAGACGGACTAGTATTACGGAATTGCGTATTTTGCGGTCAGAAATTGCAGATATTAAGAATTAGAATTTTTTAACAGATTCTGTAATTTGCATTGAGGACAAAAATCAGCGTTGCCAAGACATCACATTTAAAAAATTTTGCTCTGTTACCCCGAGAAAAATCTTCCCGAATTATAAGAATATACGGCCTTCCAAAAATTCATAAGTCCAATGTCCCCCTAAGATCCATCGTCAGTGCATACAACTGCCCCACTCAGAAATTGGCAAAATGTCTCGCCTTATACTTACAATCATTAGCTGAAAACACCTCGTCCTTTGTCAAAAATTCTTTAATTTGATTGATGTTCTGAAAAACATTTTTATTTCACTCTCAGATATACTAGGTAGCTTTAACATTTTTACTCTATTCACCTACATTCCTATCAATAAAACCATCTTGGACTCTAAACATCAAAACATGCATGTCGAATCCATACTTTTCATTCCAAAATCATTTCTATCGTCAAATCAAAGGTGCGCTAATGGGACATTTCTCTCCTGTAATAGCTGATATTTACAGGGTAAATTGATGACACCTTTGTCATTTGGCCCCATGATAAAGACACATTAAATCTCTTCCCTCACAGTTTTTTCTATTCCATGCACCCATACAAACCGTTATATCAATGCCCAGTCACATCATCACCCCGCTCAACTTAATGCAGTTATCAACAATATTATGTCTCGTTCCATAAGACTTAGCGACAACAATCACAGATTATCCGAAATCAATTCAATAAAACAATCACTCTTACAAAAGTAAACCCTTACTATAAATTAATTGCTATTTAACTGGGAATAAGCCACAATTAAAGATAAAAATACGTTTATTGACGTTTCAATTTCCACTTTGGAAATCGTTCTCAAAATACAAACAGTAAATTAAACAAATTTTGTTTTTTGTTACATAGTGAAAAATTCTTCTAATAATTTAATTTTATCTGACTCATTTATATTGACAATTTAGACATACATTATGCATTTTAAAGTAGACGACTTTAAAATGATATTGCCATAATTGTTAAGTTGCGCTTCTGGGACGACTTTACTTATAAGATAGTTCATTCGATTATGTTCGATTATTCGACATTCGATTATTCGACATTATGTACTGATAATACATATTTTCAACTAAATAATGAATTCTATAAACAAAATTTTAGTCTAGCAATGGGCTCTAGTTTATCTCCATTCTTAGCCGATATATTTATGGAAGATTTTGAAACAAATATCATTTCTAAACAAAATTTAAAATCCACAGTATGGTGGAGGTATGTAGGTGATGTATTCTCAATATGGCCTCATGGATCAGAGTTGTTGGACACATTCCTAAATGATATAAACGATAAAGAAGAGACAATAACATTTACCATGGAAAAGGAATATAATAACACGCTACCTTTCCTGGATGTTTTAATCTCTAAGAACGATACTGGATATGAGACTCAGGTGTATAAAAAACGAACACACAACAATAGATATTTAAATTTCATATCAAATCACAATATGAATGTAAAAAAGGGAATAATTAAATCCTTATACGATAGAGCTAAAATTACTTGTTCTAACGAAAATTCGTTCTTGGAACATTTCGATATTTCGACATTTCGATGGAACAATCGATAGAATAGAACAGAACAACTTAGAACGAGATCCTACAGCATGCACAAGGAATAATACGAGGAAAATAACAATAACGTACATAAAAGGATTATCAGAACAACTTAAAAGGATAGGAAACAAATTCAACATTTCAAAAACATTCAAAACAACAAACACGTTGAGATCTATTTTGTCCAAAACCAAACCTAACAATGAACAAGAAAGGACGAAGAATTGCATTTATAAAATACCTTGTGAATGCGATCAGTTTTATTTAGGTGAAACATCAAGGCCATTAAATGTTAGAATAAGTGAACATCAATCTTATATTAAAAATAGAGAATTTGATAGATCTCAAATATGTAAACACGCATGGGATAATGAACATAGGGTTCAATGGAATAATTCAAATGTAGTCCTAAAAGAAACGGATGGTAAAAAAAGAAAAATCAAAGAAGCGGATAGAAGAATTCTAAAAGTTAAGTCTAATGAAGTAGACGATAAAATTCCTACAAACTAATAAAAGAATAAGTTTCTACTTTAATAAAAACTGAAGATATCGTCGCAAAACGAAAAAATACGTTTGAATTTTTTTTAGGTTATGTATGGGTCTAGGAGTTTTTTTTGGTGAAATTTTTTTTGGTGATATTTTTTGATAAAGAACAATATGGTATTTTAATTTTTGAAATATAGCAGGGTGAAAGAATTGACTACTAGGAAAATTTGAATACTGCAATACGACTGATACGTTCGACGTTTCTTTAATTACAATATAATATTCTCAATTATTTTTTTATGTAATATTTTAAAAATGCACTTTTAAGTACCTAATAAGAGTGTGAACAATAAAGTGGAGCTGCAAGATTTCGATTTAGCTGTAATAATATTATAAATGAAATGGGAGAGAAGCATAGGCTTAACATCAACAAAGCAAAAACCAAATATATAATAATCAGCGGACAATTCCATATGGAAGCTTAGTTAAATATAAATAAAAGAGCTATTTATTCATCATCATCAAGCCTCCATTTATCACGTCCACTGCTAGACATATGCCTCCATTAAACTCCTCCATTCTTTGCAATTTTGTGCTCTTTGTTGCCAATTGGTTGCCAATGTGTAATTTTACTCGTCCATCGTGAGTCATGCATTCTCGGTACATGGTCTGTCCAATTCCATTTAAGTTCCGCTATGCGTTCCAGAAGAGCTATTAAAAGGGTTAAAAACTGTAAATAATTTGGAGCTACATTAAAGAGTAATTGGATCTGTGATCTGAACGTGAAGATAAAAGTAGCGATAGCTCGAAACGCCTTCGTTAAATTTAACCCTTAGAATCCGGATCTCAAAATCCTATATTGTCCATCCTGATGTACGGAATTGAGACTTGGTCACTAAAAATGAGATGTCAAAATGGGCTGTTTCAGAAAGCTACTTAGAAGTCCATGGGTGGACTATGTAACAAATGATGAGGTTCTAAGAAGAGCTAACGACCAAAGAGAATTGTTAGATCACGTTAAGTAGCAAAATATTTCATACTTGGACCATATTCTACGAAATAACAAATATAATCTCATATATGTCATCTTGATGGGTTAAGTTAAATGTCGAAGATATTCTGTGCGAAAGAAGCAATGTATATTAAATAAATCATGTGTAGCTATTATTATTTTCATTTATTTGATTTTTTATTGTAATTTCTACATACCTACATTCCATCTCTATTCGTTTGAAAGTTCTTTATGCTATTCCAGTTGTTCGTCGATATTTTATAGTTTTTAATAACTAATTATTGTTTTATTCTATTGTTTATTTCGGTATTGTTTATGTTAACTGTATTGGCTTTTCGTTTCTGTCGCTGGTATCGTTTAACGCCGAATTTAATAGATTTTACAAGGGGTTGATAATCTGATACTTTTATTTTACAAGAGCACAGATATTCTCTTTAAATTTTTAATGGTATTTTCAAATAATGTGAAAAATTTATACGTGACCAATTTCAACTATATTTTAGTTCTTAAAACTATTTAGATTGAGCTCTTCACTTCACATTCATTTTGTGTAAGGTTTTTTATTGAAGAATAAACAAACTTTTTTAGGATCAACGAAAAGTCGACCATTCAAGGTTTAAGAGAGAAACATCTTAAAAACACTTCAATAAACTTCGAAGATATTGACCTAACAAACCAAACCGCAATATATTATAATAGCACATATAATATATCAGCAGAGGTCATCCGAAATATTGGACGACTCGAAGTAAAAGCCACTAAATCCCTAAATTTGTATACAATTCTGGTCATCGGCTACTCCTTGGTTGAACTGCTAAAACGTTACATCATCTTAAGGGTAGGATTCAAAGCCTCCGTAAACCTCCATAAAAAGATGGTTAAATCGATCATGCACTCCACCATGGCATTTTTCGACAGTTTTTTCATTGGAAATATACTGAACAGATTTTCGCAGGACTTAAGTATAGTCGATGAACATTTGGCGATGATGTTGGCACATATGGTTGACGTAAGTTTAAGTCCGTTAATATTAGTTATATGTATTACTGACAATATATTTATTTTTAGGCCTTGTTTCATTTATTTGGTGTCGTAGGTTTAATAGCAACAATAAATTGGAAATTTATCATACCGGCGGTAATATTAGCTATTTTTTCAATATTGCTGCGAAGTGTTTATATTAGAACATCAAGAAGTTTAAAACGACTTGAAGCTGCCAGTAAGTATTTTTTATGTATATACTTTGTTCAGAAGAGTATAACTAGTATATACATATACAAGGTGAGTCATGAGGAACTTTACATACTTCTATCATATGTAGAGTCCCTCAGGGAGCATATCATGTGGCCACTAAAAAATGTCAACTCCTCTTCTTTATTAATTAACAGGGTGATTTGTGTAATTGACCATGTATTTCATTTTATTATAGTGTTTATACGGCTCATTTGATTTTTTAAATTTTTGCATGATACAGTACACTACTATCAAGCATTCGACTGGTATTAGCTAAACTAAAAAATTCCAGTACTGGCTTTGGAAAAATTAATTTAGGGATTCGTATTAAATATTACACCCTGTATATATATTTTTTTTAAAATGCAATAAGTGATTTTCAAACTACATAAATAGCCAATGAAAACGACATATGCGACAATGTTGTCGCACTTTTATTAAATTTTTAGTGAACGATCAAATCTTGCCAAAAATAGAACAACCATAATGAAGTATCAAATTATAAGGTAATTAATTTAAACAAATGTTATACATTTCAAACATTTTAATTGAAATGATAAACTGAGTCACTGCACAACAAAAAACAGTAACTACTAACAATAACGATGAACAATTTAAAAAAAAAACTAAAAATATGTGCATAGTTATGATAAACCCATAAGTTAGAACTGGAAAAGATACAATAATGGTAACAAAATAAAAATAATTCAAAATAGGTTTTCGAAATGGAACCCAGCAGCCTGTATACATTTTTGTTGCCGAATGTAAACTAGTTGCTTCAATCGTCCCCAAATATGGTAATCAACGGGATTGAAATCAGGGGATCTTGAAGGCCACGAAATAGGACCTGCACGTCCTATTCACCTGTTGCCATAAACATTATTGAAATGTTGTCTCACTGCCAGTAAAAAGTGTGGGGGTGCCCCATCATGCTGAAAATACATCTCTCGGATAGCAACGTTCGCGTTGGCAAGCAAATTCGGCAAAATATTTTGTAGAAAGTTCAAATAGACCTGCCCTGTTAAAGGACCATCAAAAAAGTGGGGACCTACTAATTGGTTATTTATGACACCAATCCACACGTTAACCGAAAACCTTAACTGAGAACGACGTTCTTGAATAGCATGGGGATTTTCTTCTGCCCACACAGGTGCACAGGTGAATTTCGTGAATTATTTATCCCGTCTCTGGTAAATTGGGCTTCATCTGTAAATAGTGTCCTGTATAGCGTTGGCCGATTATTCTTAATCCATCTACAAAATTCCAACCTATCTCATCTCCAGCATGTAGTCGCTGAACCATTTGAATGTGATATGGGTATAGATTATTTTTTTGTAAGACTCTACTTACTTTTGATTGAGTAACATTGAGTTCTCGACTTACTTGTCTAGTGCTTATTGTAGGGTTCATAGTAACGGCGTCCATAATGTCATCTTCCTGCGCTTCATCTACATGTCGCTCTGTTGTTCCACTATGAAAAGTGCCATTTTCTCGCAAATACTTAAAAACTGACCCAAATGTTGGATGACTGGGAGTTCGGCGATTAGGAAATCTCCTGCGATATTCTCTACTAGCAGCCCTACCATTCCCATTACAGAATCCATAAACAAATATTATGTCTGCATATTCTGTGGTCGAAAACTGATGTGGCATTTTGAACGAAAGTAACAAAAGCTCTACTAAAACTAACACAATGTACTTAACGTAGATATAACAGAAGAAGTATGTATTCTTGTACACATAAATAACAATTGATAATGACAATAATGACAATGGGCATATAAAATATCAAGAAACGTCAAACGGTTAACGCCAACCTTCATTTTAAACTTTTTTAGATTTCTTTTTATTTAGTACAGTTGATGCAATGTATTATTATTTGACATAAAATTTTAATCATTCACTATCAACAAAAACTAACACATACAAGAGGTTTAACTTTTTAATCAATTTAATTTATTATTTATCGAAAATAATGCCCCAATACGATCTATGAGTAAAAATTTAAAATTGAAAAACAATTGATTCTATCGTAGAGATAATACAAAGTGACAGTAAAGATGTTAATTTTCTACGTATTAGATTATGTTGTAGGAACTCGTTTTAATTAAAATGTTTGAAATTTATAACATTTGTTTAAATTAATACCTTATAATTTGATACTTCATTATGGTTGTTCTATTTTTGGTAAGATTTGATCGTTCACTAAAAATTTAATAAAAGTGCGACAACATTGTCGTATATGTCGTTTTTATTGGCTATTTATGTAGTTTGAAAATCACTTATTACATTTTAAAAAATATATATACAGGGTGTAATATTTAATACGAATCCCTAAATTAATTTTTCCAAAGCCAGTCCTGGAATTTTTTAGTTTAGCTAATACCAGTCGAATGCTTGATAGTAGTGGACTGTATCATGCAAAAATTAAAAAATCAAATGAGCCGTATAAACACTACAGTAAAATGAAATAAATGGTCAATTACACAAATCACCCTGTTAATTAATAAAGAAGAGGAGTTGACATTTTTTAGTGGCCACATGATATGCTCCCTGAGGGACTCTACATATGGTAGAAGTATGTAAAGTTCCTCATGACTCACCCTGTATATATATATATATATATATCTATATATATATATATATATATATATATATATATATATATATATATCTATATATATATATATATATATATATATATATATATATATATATATATATAAAACCTAGAGCTAAGATTAATATTATTAATCCTTTGAAATTTTTGAATCCTTTTCGAAGAAACAAGATCATGTATCGCTGCTACCCGAATATCATCTACATAACATAGGGTATTTTTCATAGACATAATAAGTTCACGTTTGCGTTACTCATTTGATAATACTTTTCCTTCCATTATTATATCATTCATAATGATATTAAATTGAGTTTAGTAACTATTATTAAGCTTATTAATCCTTGAGTTGTAATTTGATGACATCCTCTAGCTAAATTCTATTAAAGGCAAAAACCTGTCAAAACCGAACAGAAAAACAGACAGTATGCGTATCGAGCAGGACTCTTAAGGGAAACTTTCTACAAGAGGTGATATTGGTTGCATTTTTTAATACAAAGGAAACATTGGGCAACACCTCCTACGAAGCAATCACAAGTGCGATTTATCCAAAAGGAGTAAACGAGACAAACTACAGATGGATAGATTGCATGCTGAGGAGCCGAACGTTACTGGAGAATACAGTTTCAGCATAAGTAGCCAGTGGAAGTGTTATCTCTTCTCTTGTGAAATCTGGCCTTGGATGGGATTATATCTTGACTCAACAACGGCAGATATCGTGTGCTGAGATACACAAATTACTTGGTCATCTTAACCTACAGCAAATTTATTGGCACAGTCAGAGATATAATGTAACGGGCTTTGACTATAGTTACAGAATGGACTTCATTGTAAAGCTTAACATAAACCTCAAGAAGTACAAAATCATGAAATTTACTACAAGATGGAATTTAGAGGGATTAGATTATTAAGCCTTAATACTACTCCTTATCCAGTCAGTAAAGTATTTTGAGAGAATATGAGACTGCAGGGTTACTTGAAATCACCATTTAGAAAAATTAACCAAAAAAAGGGGTAACTAAGTTAATAGCAGCTAGACGCACCCTTAGAAAAATGAGAATTTTAAAACTAGATCTGTTATATTGTATTTATAACATGTTGGTAAAACCAACAATTACACATGGATCAGTAGTATTGTGGCCAAAGGAGCAGCAAAAAAGTGCCGGCTAAACTTAAACCTTGGAATCTTGAAATGGGTATCACAAAAAAATCGAAGGTGTACAATAAACCAACTGGCTGCAATACGACCAGTTTACAACAGAGGACTTCCGAAGAAAAAAAGTAAATGATAGTTTAAACAACAGTACCAAGAAATAAATGTTTTTTAATTGTCGTATTACCAGACTCCCATAAGAGCCTTAGAAAGTATTCATTAAATTCTGGCAGCCAGCTTTGGGGAAATCTTTTTTAAACTTTTAGACCTCTAATGTCATGGAGCAAGACACCCTGGCATCTTCCGACCAAGTATTATACTAAGACCAGAAGACTCCATGGTAGTGCCGGATTAACCGTACTCCGACTAACACCTTAACCACCGTTCCAGACAAAGTAATGATCTTACCACCAAATGGAAAACAAAAATTCGTACATTAACCGTCATGCGTCACCTTAAAAGAAAAATAACTATATTATATTATGCAAAACTTACAATTAACCACACCTATCACCATAAATCAGAAAAAAAGTATAAGAACCGCCTGTTACGAACATGATATAAAAAAACGAAAGTATTTTCGTAAGATTATAAACTAATTTTGATACTTTCCTTCTCTGTCCTCCTGCTCTTTCTTCTTCATCACCGCAGAGATCGAACATTACACTTAAATAGTTTATTAATACAAATTTGTATTCCAAAAAATGTTTCGACTACTGAACAGAGGCTAAAGTAGGTGATAAAATATCAGATTCCCAATTTTTGCCTGTGTATAATGTTTTAGCAGCGTATTAAGAGGACCCGTGGAGTGGAGACCTCGAACTATTACAGGTATTAAGGATGCTTTTCTTTATGTGGATACGTATGATCTCTATTTAATGTAATACTGAACTGTATTACCTGGAATTGTAACAAAGTAACTTCGGAATTATGGTTGCCAGGCATAAAGGAGTTGCTGGTACCGATATTGCTTGGTCTTGCTAAAGAATAAACCAATTTGTTTCCAAAATCCAATTTAAACCCAAAAAAAGCTCAAAGCGGAACTAGTTCAACGAAAGAAACTTAATGTAGTCTGGTGGTAAAATATTTCACACCAAAAACATGCAAAAAGAGTTATTACATCATTCTGCTAGCTACAAAACAATACTTTTAAAGCTTAAGAAATGCTTCTTAATCCAAGGAAATCGGAAGTGTTGTTACTAGACCATACTCACTCAGATATCATACGGAAATACGAGGAAAATATCTTTCAGGTCGTACTGTGGAAACCTCTACAAAGCAAAACGTCTTCTTTAACATTTCTAATCTATTCTATTGCAAAATACAGTAATTATTCTTTTTCTTTATAGCCCGAAGTCCACTAGTAGGCCATTTGAACTCAACTATGGAAGGTTTGACGACAATAAGAGCTTATAAAGCACAAGATATTTTAAAGAATGAATTCGATAGACATCAAGATTTGTTTAGTAGTGCCTTTTACACATCAATATGCGCCAAGGCCGCTTTCTCGTTTTTGATGGAAATATCCTCAATAGCGTTTACAACAACTGTGATAGTCAGATTTTTATTCTTTGATACAGGTAAGTGGTTTATTATTTTTTGTTATTGTCAATAAATTTTCATTTTTGATAGTATAAAAGGCAACTATCGAACACAGTGATTAATTAAATCTTGCCCAAGTACTTTCGATCAATAGATCATCTTCAGGGGCATTTCGTCAGTTGTGGCCTATCCGACATGAGTAGAATGTCATAAATGTAAAATTGGACATAACAATACAATACACAAAGACAAACAAACACTTTAAAATTTTTAAAAGGAGAAGCTACATGTTATATAGAAACCGTAGAAATCCAGAAATTCTGGAGGGAGAGATTCTGTCTCCGGTTTCTTTATAACATGTAGCTTCTCCTTTTAAAAATTTTAAAGTGTTTGTTTGTCTTTGTGTATTGTATTGTTATGTCCAATTTTACATTTGACCTGAAAATCGCCTATTTTTATACTTTCTGAAGTAGCGATTAGGGATTTCCAGGTCAGGGAGGGGCCAACGGGAAAAATAAGGGGCGGGGCGATGCGTCTAGAACGTGAACTAGTCGCGTCCGAGAACATTCATGGGTCCCTAGACGAGAAGCGAGTGACCATGTTTGTTCCATTGATAACCAAATAACCAATAATAAATATACTGTGATAATTATTTTCTTTTCTTTCCTTTGGGAAGAACTTAAGTTCTTCTTAACTTAAAAAGTCCTTTGCTCATTTAAGCCGGATCTCCAATTTAAAATTCATTTTAATTGTTAAAATTTCTCTAGTATATTTTATATTTAATATTTAACCAATATCTGTCTTTTTATAATTTCATTTTTTATACATACGTACATAACGTCCCTCAAACGTGTTTTCTTAACATTATAATTCGTCTCATATGCAGTTAGTATCTTTAATATAATTTAACTATTTCATCTAATAATTATATTCATTTTATCCTTGCCAATTTGCTATTTGTTATTTAATATTGTACCTAAATTAATTTTTATCCACTTCACCTTTTGTGTGTAAAGGATTCCACAGAATATGGTCGCCCATGCAATAATACCTGCAGCTGCTATTCAGAACTCAATGGCCACCTCAAAATGCAAACATGAAAGTATCTAGATTCAGCTAAATTCAAGATCAGCTCAGTCTCAACAATTGAATAGTATATGTAGTTGATTTCAGAGTTAAATGAAAATTTAAGCACCAACTATTTTTAAAATAAAAATAGTAAAATAAAAGATAAAGTTAATATATGAATAAAATCAAAAGAAATAGAAATAAAATATTTATTAAAAGAAAAATAACAAACATGTGACGGTAGATCAATCAACCAATTAATCTATCATATCATTACCTACCTATATTTTACAGTAGACAAGTTTACAGAGAAAAGTTTAAATTATTAACCTAAAATAAATTTTTTGTATATTTAGAACATTATTTGCTAAACCTTTTCATATTCTATTTCCTGTTTCTATTAATTTTCATCCATCTTATTTATATGAATATATTAAAAATATTTTTTTATTTAATAGGAACAAACTCTGGAGATGTTGGTCTTACTTTAAATCAAGCAGGTATGCTAAGTGGAATTGTACATATGGGCTTGGCGGCTTGGTCAGAATTGGAAAATAGCATGACATCTGTTGAACGAGCCATGGAATATACAACAATCGAAAGTGAAAGTAGTTCTGGAACAGACAATATAAATTGGCCAACTAAGGGAGAAATTGTTTATCAAGATGTGTCTATGACATACACGAATTCCCACGAAAAAGTTTTGAAGGATATTTCGTTCACTGTTAAGGCAGGAACAAAGATTGGTATTGTAGGTAGAACTGGAGCCGGAAAATCCTCAATTATATCCACATTATATCGGTAAGTATTTTAGAGTACGTACATAATAAAATTTTAAAAGCAAACAATAATCAAAGTGCATCCTCAATAAATTTTTATTAATGTAGACTCTGGAGGATTTGTAGTATAAGCATTATATGATTATATGCATGATACATTAACATATTACAATATAAATTTTCTTGGTGTTTTTATTACTACTTGTATACTCTCTCTTCTTCTATTCTTACTACTTTTCTGGTTAATCAATTATTTTTCTTGTAAGTTTTTTTAGGAGAAATCTGTAATCTTTGTGAGAAATAGTTAGCAAATGCAATATAATATATACAGTAGAATATATACCTATATTCGTGGTTCTCAGGCGGACTTTAGCATCTGATATAGAGCATGTTTTACCTCGAGGCTTTACGTCTCTTCAGCAAAATACTTTCTTGGTCCTTGCTGTGCTTTAACGAGATTTTTTGTTTATTTGTTTCTGGTCTAATATTATCCCACAAAAGAAGAAGTTATAAAATTGATGGCCCTCTTAGTAGAAACACGCATGTCGGGAGAACGCTAATGAAACCTGTATATCCTCTGGTACCTTAAATTGAACTGTGCGTAGCTTGTAAGATACTTCTGTAAAGTGACCACTCGGTCATGATTATCTCACATGATTACATACCACGATTAAGTATGGCATCTTATCGACCACGATAAGGTCTGGCGGCTCTTGGTTAAGAATCTAAGGTTAGGAAAAGAATCTTCAATAATATTCTTTAAAAACATATAATTCCATTTTTTTTTGTTGAGAGGCTTTAATGTACACACAGTACCTAGAACAAATGAAGCCATTTTAGAGCCATATGGAGGAAAGGACGGTAATGACTGATGGATGAAAGGATGAAAGGATGAAAATACTTTTTCTGCCGATTGGTGACTTATCTCTTGCTATTTTGACGACTCGGGTCTCCTTCATTCTGCTTATGTGGTTATTACGTTCTTTCTTTGCGCATTTCTTCGCGTAATTCTTCTCACTACTACCATCTCTGCCGTTTCCAGTAGTATTTGCGTTGTGGCTGTGTCGGATCTTATTTCTGAGGCATATGTCATTATCGGTTAATGTGTCTGTTTCGCCATATAGTGTTATTTAGACATCCTGCCAGTCTATTTGCATTTTGTACTTGATATCTCACTTCTTTGTCCATGTCTCCATAGCTAGACAGTGTAATTCCGAGGTATTTTTTTTTCCATTACTTATTCAATACTGATGTCACAAATTTCTACTTTACATCTGCTGAGTTCTTTGCTGACTACTATTGTTTTAGTTTTTTGAGATGAGATTGTCATATTAAATTTATCTGCTCTTATGTTAAATCATAAAAATATATAAAGTAAAGTAATAAACGGTGACCAGTCTTTGCAGACTATCTTCATTTTGGGCTATCAATATTGCGTCGTCTGCATAACATAGTATTTTTATTTCTTTGTTTCCCATTCTTCTGTATCCTCTTCCTTTATTAACGCTTTTGATGATTTCATCCACGATCAAATTGAAGAGCATGGGGCTCCACGAATACCCTTGTCTTATTCTGCTGCCTATTTCTATAGATTTTGTAAGTTGGAAGTCTATTCTGACTTCCATTTTGTTATTTTGGTATAAGCTTATTCTTCTTATTGATGTATCTATCCGTTACGAATGTTGGCGATCACCAAGGCAAACTTTATCTTATCTGCAGAAGCGCGAAAAAGCTGCACAGATGTTGTATTGAACCAGATTCTTGGGTTCTGTAACCAAGATGTTCTTCTTCCTCCTAGACCTCGTTTTCCAAACATTTTCCTGCAGTATGGCTTGAAAGAGAGCAAATCTGGATTTATTTCGCATAATATGTAAGAAGAGCTGTAACTTTCGAGATTTAACGGTGGTCAGTACCTCTCGGTTCTCATTCATTCTTTTGGGGACCTCCTTATTAGTGATTTGGTCAGTCCACGGGATCTTAAGCATTCTCCGAGATAAGAAACATTTAAAATGTTTCCTGTTTTCTGCTCATATTTTCGTTCAATGTCCACGATTCAACACCATAAAAAAGGACAGAGAAAACGTAGCATCGAAGCATTCTTACTTTTGTATCGAGAGAGAGGTTGTGACTCTTGAAGAAGGCCCCTATCCGATTGAAGGTGGATCTAGCTTTCCCGATGCGTGCTCTAGTTTTCTAGTTGTTGGTCCATTCTTCATTTATTATGGTGCCGAGGTAGTTGTAGTGCGTCAATCTTTCTTCATGTGATGATTTACGTAAAGTTGACCTTCTCTTATCCTTTTCTTGCTAATTATCATAAGCTTGGTCTTCTTAACGTTTTTATTGAGTCCATATTGTTGACTGTAATACGTGATTTTGTTCATAAGAACTTGTAGGTCTTCTAAGTTCTCCGCAAATACTATGGTGTCATCTGCATATCTGATGTTGTTTAGCCGGTAACTATTTAGTAGAATACTTTTTTCAGTTTCGTGCAAAGCTTCGATAAATATTCTTTCAGAGTACAAATCGAAGATTAGAGAAGACAAAATACAGACTTGCCCTACTCCAGGCATAATTTTCACATAGTCAGTGTGTTCACCTTCAACTCTGAGATTTTCTGTCTGATTCCAGTAAAGATTTCTAATTATTTTCAGATCTTGATTGCTAATTCGTGTTTCTTTTAATATTTGCATTATCTTCATTTGCATCAACCAGACATGCGTATACGTCGAAGTTGACGTCTCTGCATCTCTGGAATAAGACTTGTACTGAGAACAAATCCTCTCTAGTACCAACAGCATTTGTGAACTGGAACTGGAACAATTTTACAAGATGACTCATGAAGCTTATAGTAATCTTCACATTTTTTGGCTCTTGTTTTTTTTTGGAAGTGGAATAAACTCAGATTTCAGCCATTCTGTTGGTATTTCTCCAGATTTGTATATATTGTTAAATATGTTTGCGATTATTGCTATTTATTCGTTGTCCATTAGTTTAAGTAGTTCTGCTTGTATATTATCAGGGCCTGCCGCTTTGCCATCTATAACAGTGTTATTGTGCAATAAACTTCCTGCTGTAGTATTCTTGGTCCATCATTTACCTCTTCTTTTAGCTCAAAGGTGTTATCTCTTTGGTCTTCAAAGATACTTATAGTCAGTAATATTTATTACGTATAGAAAATGAATTTTAAAGATACAATTCTTCTTAGAGTGTCGTTTTCCTACAGAGGTTGGCAATTATAATGGTTATTTTCATTTTTCAACTTGTTTCTCTAAACAAATCAATCGATCTGCCATGCTCCAATCACGTAGGTTCTTAAATCAAAAATTCTGCCTTTGGCCAACTGATCTTCCTATAGATATATAGACTGTGAATATCAAATACTAAGCTTCTCTCCATTTATGTGGATATTATACTAGTTCAGATCTGCCATCTTACAAGTATGTCCTAAATATGTCATGAATATTTTTGGAGAGATGGTTTCTCCTTGCTTTATATGCTATATATCTTGTTCAGATATTCTTACTCTAGTTGTAGCATTTTGATAAATATGTTGGATTATGTTGTATGTAGAGTGTACTGATGGTCTATACGACAGTATGTCAATATATTTGTTTAAATTAAAAGTTGCTTATAAGAATTCTGACTATTCGACTACAATAAAGCAATAAAGTATATCCTGAAAATTTTAATAAATATTTTAATTTGTGTTTTTTAAGCATATTTGATTATTTAATATGTAAAAAAACTGGTTAAAATCGTATAAAAACTTAAAATTATTCAAGAGAATTTCCAATTTGAATAGATCACACTGAATATTCATGCTAAGAATTATACAAGGTGGTCCAAAATTATCTACATTAATTTATAGAGCTCATAGTACGTCCAAAAATAAGGGTACTTCTTTATGTACACTTTTTTATAAAACTGAATAATAAGGGAGATACAACCCTTTAAAGGGGTAAATTGAAATTCTTATTTTTTTCAAATATCTTCCAAACGGTATTGAATACGGAGTTCATATTTTGGGAGTGATTATAAGACATTAGGATAATTAATTTCATGTCACCACCTACCACATCCTATATTAATACAGGGTAGTTTTGGAGGGTAAGTGGGGGTTATTGCGCCACATGTTTTTTAATTTTTACATATTTTAAAAAAATATTTTAAAAATTGTTTCCTTATACTTTTCTACGCAAAAAACGTGTACTTGTAATATTTCGATAGATATCACCGTTTTAGATTTATTTAAACTCGAAGGTATACATGTATTTTATTGTAATCGTTACATTTCTTAATATTCATCAAGTATGCTTTGGAATTGACACTTGTGTTAGCAATAATATTACAAATTAATGAAAAACTTAATTAATGCTTAACATTTAATTAACGGCGAAAATAATATTTCACAACAACTGTTCAAAATGTCCTCCATTTTGTTGAATACATAATCTAATTCTTTTATTTAGCGAACGCATTGATCCATTTAATGTTACTGGATCGTTTTGTAAATCGGTAAATACTTGTTTAATTTTGTCTCTTAACTCATTTACTGTATTAATTGGAGTGTTATACACTTTTGATTTCAAATAACTACATACTGTAAAGTCCATTGGATTAAGATCACAAGTACGAGCAGGCCAATGAATCGGTGCATCCGCACTCCGGCCTATCCACCTATCAGGGAAATGTTCATGTGTTCATGTGGGAAATGTTCCCCTATCAGGGAACCTTTTACAAATTCTTGTGTAATGTGGTGTAGCACCATCATGCATGAAAAACATGTTTCTTCGTATTTGTAATGGAATATCTTCCAAAATATCATGTAAAATATTGTCTAGAAAATTTTAATACATGTTACCATTACAATTTCCGGGAAAGATGTGGTATCCTATGAAACTATTTCCTATAGTAGCTGCCCAAACGTTTATCTTGAACGTGTGTTGGAAGTGAGTTTCCATTGTAGCCCTTGGATTTTCTTCAGCCCAGAAGTGTATATTTCTAGAATTAAACATACCTTGTCTTGTAAATGTGGCCTCGTCTGTAAATAGAATGTTGCTTAAAAAATTTGGAAAACTTTATTTTGCAATACTTCACAAAAATCAACTCTAAGTGGCATATCGTCAGGTAACAATTCCTGCACCTGTCGATAGTGGTAAGGATGTAATTGTAAATATTCGTTCCTAATCCTAACCTGCGTATACTTATTGTGGGGTCATTTATTACAGCATCCAATATTTGCTGTTCAACGCGAACATTTCTTGCTTCTCTACGACGACCAGCATCTGTATGCCTTCTTTGAAGACAACCGGTTTCTCTCAGTCGTCGTTCAGTACTTACAAAAGTCCTGGCATTGGGAATATTTCTGTTCTGATACTTTTCTCTGTAGCGTCTTACAGCGGAAGGAGCATTTCCCGAACATTCCCCTAATACTAAAAGTATGTCTGTCATCTCAGAATTTGAATAGTGTGCCATATTGCGGGCAAACAAATTTAAAAATATAGCAAAGAATTCTAAACAAATTTCACTGTCGAGTACAATAAAAGTGTAGATAAAATAATTAAATTGTTATTAAACGTCACTGACAAGTTATAGACTACTTGAAATTAAAGTGTTGTTGCTAAAACAAGTGGCAATTCCAAAGCATACTTGATGAATATTAAGAAATGACGAATTTAAATAAAAAAACGATTAATGTATACCTTCTTGTTTAAATAATTCGAAAACGGTGAAATATTACAAGAGCACTTTTTTTATAAATATATTTTATATTATATTTTATATATATATATATATATATATATATATATATATATATATATATATATATATATATTTTATAAAATATTTTTTTTAAATATGTAAAAATTAAAAAACATGTGACGCAATAACCCCCACCTACCCTCCAAAACTACCCTGTATTATTATAGGATGTGGTAGGTGGTGACATGAAACAGGTGGTGACATGGTGACATGGTTACTTCCAAAATATGAACTCCGTATTCAAAACCGTTTGGAAGATATTTGAAAAAATAAGAATTTCAATTCACCCCTTTAAAGAGTTGTATCTCCCTTATTATTCAGTTTTATAAAAAAGTGTACATAAAGAAGTACCTTTATTTTTGGACGTGCTATGAGCTCTAGAAATTAATGTACATAATTCTGGACTACCTTGTATAATACAAAAAAATAAAAATGGTATCTTAATATTTATTAAATATTGCTTTATTTTTTAGACTATACAATTACGAAGGTAAGATATTAGTCGATGGAGTAGAGCTGAAACAACTCTCCCTCAAATTCCTAAGACAACATATATCCATTATCCCGCAGGATCCCATTATGTTCTCAGGAACTATACGAAGTAATATAGATCCTCTAAACGAATTCTCCGATGAAGACATTTGGAAAACTCTTCACAAAGTTCAACTAGACAGCGTAGTTCCAAAACTAGAAGTCGATGTCGACGATGTCAACTTTAGTACTGGCCAAAGACAACTTATTTGTTTAGCCAGAGCTATTATAAGGAAAAATAAAATTATGGTTTTAGACGAGGCTACAGCTAATATGGACCCTGAAACTGAACAAGTAGCGCAGAAGATTATAGAGGAAAACTTTAGTTCGTGTACTGTACTTATTATAGCTCATAGATTAGACGCTATATTAGATTGTGATAAAATATTAGTTTTAGATAAAGGTAACGTTATTGAATTTGACTCGCCTAAAGCATTGTTGGAAAACAAAACCAGTTTATTTTCAGAAATGATGAGAAACTCTCATCTGGGCCATGGAGCGGAAAAAGAAAAATCAAATTGAGTGGTAGTATTTAGATGTAGCAAGTATTTTTGTATTTCTAAAAATAAATATTTTAAAGATTTAGTTGAGTTTACATTTTAGTTTTATAGTATTTAAATAGCTTTAAACACAATGTTCATACTTTAAGATAATATATGAGAAAAATAAGTGGACGCCTAAAATATTTATGCTAAATAATATGATCAAGGTACCAGACTTTAAGAATTAAGCACAGCGAAGACAACACTAGGAAACGTTTGAGTTTGTACTGACTATGTATTCTACAGTAGATCATCATCATTTTGGCTTTACAACCCTGTGTGGGTCCTAGCCTCCCCAAGAATTCTCTTCCAGTCTTCCCTATCCATCGCCTTCCTCCGCCAAGCACGTATTTCCATATTTCTCATATCTTGGTCTATGTTATCTAGGAATCTTGTTCTGGGTCTTCCTCTTCTTCTTTGACCAATAGGTCTATCAAGAAGCATTTTTCTAGCTGGGTCGGTTTGCTCCATCCGCATTACATGGCCTATCTACCTCAGACGTCCTATCTTAATGTGTTTTACGATATCTGGTTCCTGGTATATTCTATAGAGTTCGAAGTTGTATCGTCTTCTCCAGACACCATAGATTCGCCTCAGTATTTTTCTTTCCAAACATCCTAACATGTTTTCATTGCTTTTTGTTAAAGTCCAGGTTTCTGAACCATATGTTAAGACTGGGCGCATTATTATTTTGTAGAGTTTTATTTTTGTATTTTTTGATATAGCTGTAGATTTAAAAAGGAGATTAAGCCCAAAATAGCATCTATTAGCCGTGTAAATGCGGTTTATCTCTGCGGTAATGTCATTTTCAGTATTGACGAGCGTTCCCAGGTATACAAATTCGTTAACTGCTTCGATGGCGTCGTTTTCTATAAGACGTCGTATCCCTAATAGCACACGTACGTCCAGTGGACGTCCATAGTACGTCCCTCACGGACTTTAAGGACGTCCCTCGGACTTTGGTCCGCTTTGGTCCTATTTACGTCCGTTTTACGTCCTATATTGGTCCGAATGTCGCTGCGCCGAACGTCCTATGGACGTCCATTTTACGTCCCGAGCGGACGTTAGTTGGACGTACCGGGACGTTAATTGGACCTTAATCGGACGTCCATAATACGTCCGGAGGACTTACTTGACGGACTTTTGTGATGTTCTCGGACGTCTATTTTAGTGCTGACGATATAAATTAGACGTCAACGCCATTGTATAAAATACTAAAAGTGGTGTCATCCTGTGCATATTAAGAATGTATTTTGGGAAATAAAACGTAAATGTTTAAAGGAATTTACATTTATTGTTACATTTATTTATTATTAACAAATGGGACAAATCCACTGTCCAAATTATACAAAAATGCAACATTATAGAAATATAAAATAATTTTTAGTAATAAAACATAAATGTTTAAAGGAACTAACATTTATTATTACATATATTTATTTATTCATAACAAATGGAACAAATTCACTGTCAAAATTATACAAAAATGGAACATTATAGAAATATACACAAAATTACAGATAAAAATAAAATATACATGAATAAATAGGTACACATTTATAAAAAAGTGTCATTTATCATTTTAGTGCTTCAAATAGTACCTAAACCTATTGATACAAAAGTTTCAGACCATATCTATGTGTGAATCATAATTAGTTCTGCGTCAAGGAACATGGAAATATAAATTCTGACACAGTGAATGGGAGGAATATTAAAACAAACTAGCTGAAGCAATTCAGGAGATTGGTTATTTTATGAACAAGTTTAAAAATAAAGATTAAAAGGTAACACTTTTGATAAGAGAATCCAGATTCAAGAAATTGATCATACCCGAATAAGAATATGGTCAACACAATTTGCAAGAACAGTAGATGCGACAAGTCAGTATAAATCTAATCGACATAAAAAATGTTTTTTAATGCAATTATAACATAAGTGTAAATTAGTAGAAGTTGAACAACTAGACAGTAAGTAAACCATGCTGACCAGTATGAAGCTGATTCTTCAGATTTATTGTCAAAAAATCAGTCAGTAAAGCCTCGAAAATTTTAGGAATAGTAGAAAGAATTATAATGGAACGATAATTAGGAATCAATGAGTTAATGGATGAATCAATGGATAAAATCAATAAATAAATTGTGATGAAAAGTGACCCTCAGAGATTTATAAAAAATAAGCCATAGAGGCCTACATAAAAAGAATGCACAATTCCATAAAAATAAGTTACGATATTCCATCTGGACCAAGACCTTTATTGGTATTAAGACACTGTAAGCATGCTAGAATGTCACAAATTTTAATAGTTATAGAGTAAATATGGCTGTGACTGATATGGGATCTTTGACTACACTTGTCTACACAGGAGAAAGAAGGATTGTGAATACTGCTGAAGAAATTGGCAAAATCGTTGAAACTGTGGCTCACTAAAAACAGAACCATTCAACTTCCCTTATCCATTCCCATTCTGATTTACCTTACAAGTGTGTGGTCGGCAATTAAAAGCAGACAAGTCAATTGTTGAGTTTTAAAGTTGAAATCATAAGTATGAAAAAGATCAATACTTAATATGGAACTTTGTTTTATTTCAGCAGTAGATAAATTTTTAGGTACCTATTTTTAATAAATAAAACAGTCTCAAAAATTGACTGTTCCTTTCTGTGCACCAACCACACAATTTAATCATTACAAAATTAATCATATTTGCTAATGCAACATGCAAATTAAATTTTATTTGCCTCCTCTTTACATCTCAGATATTTCATTATCAAGTTTCAATTTCCTTCTCTATGGCAACACTGGTCTTGGAGTTTTTCCAGGCAGCATCTGAAAACAAAATTAATGCACTATAATGTAATGTAATAAATTGAACAAATTAATTTCAGATTTAGTTCATTATACTTTGCTTATTGTAAATAAATCATCATTCAAAGGCTTATGATTAAACAACTGAATTTCAAGTGCTGTAGTTTTAATGGATCTCACCTGAACTAGAAGAATACCAACAAAACCATAGGTATTTATTTCTAATGACCAAATGAGCAGTAATTACACATTAATACTTAAAAAACAAAAATAACAGTGTATAAATAAAATATATACAGCCAACAACAAACCTTCATTTCATATAGCTAAGTGTAGTTCTTAAAGCAATCGCATAGCCAGACCTGAACATTTGTGAAATGGTAAAATTTGCCATCTAAATTACATATAAGACACAGTTGTGTCTTATATGTAATTTAATATAAGTACCACTTAAGTGATAGTGTAAGTTTTTAAATGTTCCTTAGATTGATTTATGTTTAACAGTTACAAACCTTTTAAAATCAGAGCTGTATGTGTGTCTTCAAAAGCTTTATATTGCTTTTTCCCTAGCCAACTATATTTTCCTTGAATTTTATTGCAGACCAGCTTCTTATGGCTTCTCCTAACAAATTCGTTTATGGTTTCCTCACCAATTTTGGAAAGCTCATTATCCTAAAATATAAATCAACATGTAACAGTAATCTAACTACCCCACAAACTTGATCATCCATGCTTAATTATTTTAGTTTAAACTATCTAATAAAAAAACAGGCTCTGTTAAAAAATCAATCAAACATTCATTTGCAAATTAAATGCCTATTAAATTTACAATTTTAGGATATATCAACAAATAATACAAACTAGGATAAAACTGACTACTAAAACTTTATTTTAGTGAGATTCCATCAAAATGGAAGGATTTGTGGTTGCGGACCTATTTTCATGTATTTCGTTTTATTAATGTTTATTATTAAACCCATTTTTGTAGCCGCTTTCTTTAGTGCTACATACGCCTCTCGTGTTGCGTTTTCCGTTCTCCCAACAATATTGATATCATCAGCATATGCTAGGATTTGCACAGATTTGTTATATATCGAACCGGTAGTTGTGATTTGTGACGTACGTATTACTTTTTCTAGAGCTAGATTAAATAGTATACAGGAGAGTGGGTCTCCCTGACGTAGCTCGTTATTTGTATTAAAAGGTTCAGAGAGTTCCTCCTGGATTCGTACTCTGCATTCAACTTTTTCAAGGGTTAGTTTGGGTAGACTTACCAACTGATTTGGTACTCCCAGGTCTATCATTGCTCTAAACAATTCTCTTCTATTTACAGAGTCGTAGGCTGCCTTGTAGTCTATAATATGTGGTGCGTGTCTACACCGTATTCCAGTGTTTTCTCTAGAATTTGTCTCAGGGTTGAAATCTGATGAATTGTTGATTTACCACCTCTGAAACCAGCCTGGTATTGTCCTATTATTTGCTCTGCATACGGTGCCATACGATGGCATAGTATATTGGAGAATATTTTATACGCTGCATTTAGGAGCGTAATTTCTCGATAGTTAGAGCATTCAAAGATATCTCCCTTTTTGTGTATGGTGCAAAGTATTCCAATATTCCAATCACTGGGGAGGGACTTCTGTATCCATATTTCTTTTATAAGCTGCTGTAGCGCTATTACGATATCGTAGCCACCTTTATATAATTCCGCTGGAAGATTATCTATTCTGGGTGATTTGTTTCTGGCTAATTTGTTTACAGCGTCTTTAACTTCCAGGATCGTTGGTGGATTCTCCTCCCTCTCGTCTGCTCCGCTTACCTCGCAGCTTTCGTCTTCCGGGTTTTTTTCTTCCTCCTCTATGGTAAGTATCTGGTTAAAATATTCCGTCCATCGATTTAGTACGTCTGTTCTTGTTGTTAATAGATCGCCATTCAAACTTCTACATTGATTTGTGTTTGCCTTGAATTCTTTTCTGTTGATGTTAACTTTCTTATAGAATGTTCTGAATTCTTTCTCTCTGTTGAGGTTTTATATATATTGACGTTCCTTTTTTAAGTGGTTTCGTTTCTTCATTTTGTATATTTTCTTTTCTTCTCTTCTCTTTGTCTGGTAATTCTCTACACTCGTTATAGTCCGGCGGGTAAGCATTTTTGCATAAGCTTCATTTTTTTTCTGTGTTGCGTCTTTGCATTCATCGTCAAACCAGTAATTTTTTCGGGTACAAGTTTCTGTTCCTAT